CGGCTGCTGCTGCGGCTGCGGCTCGGGCGGCCCCTGCTGCAGCTGCGGCGGCCTTTGCCGCAATAACGACTGCTTCCCCTTTCTCTCCAGATGCTCCCACTGTGTCTCTCTGCTGCATGACTGTAGCTGTCCCGCTGCTGCTGCTGCTGCTGCTGGCTCCAGTGCTGCTGCTGCTGGTGGTGATCATGTGGGGAAGCTGCAGCTGCTGTATCCGGGCCCACGTCAAAGCCCCTTCTGTAAGGCATGCCGCTGCTGCTGCTGCTGCTGCTGGGCCTTGAACTAACGGAATCCCAGCCGCTATCTCTGTCTGAGCTTCCGACGCACTGGCCGGCGCCGTGACTGCTGAAATTTCTGCTGCTACTGCTACTGCTGCTGCTGCTGCTGCTGCTACTGTTGTAGCTGCGGCTGCTGTGGCTCAAACTCTTGTGGGTAGCATCTCGTGTGCTCCCACCTCCAGGACTGTAGACACCAACGCTACTCGTGCTGCTGCTGCTACAGCTGCTGCTGCCACGGGGAGCAGCGTATCCTACTGGGACCCCACATGCAGTACTTGAGGACTGCTGCTGCTGCCGTCGCTGCAGCTGCTCCCTTTCAATCTCAGCTGGTGTCTGGTCCCATCGACTACGTCGCTTAGGCGCGGCGCTTGCTGCTGCTGCTTCTGCAGCAGCAGCAGAAACACCTGACTTTGGGGCCCCAGGGGGGCCCATCTGAGTGTTGCCGCCGTCCATCGGCTCCTAGCAAATACTCCCAGTGAGCGCTCGCCCCAGAAGGAAGCGGCGCAGTCTCCTCCAGTTGCTGCTGCGTTTGCTGCATTGACTGCAGCAGCAGCAGCAGCAGCACCTGCTGCGGCAGGTGCTGCCACAGCAGCAGCAGAGGGCGTCGTAGATGCCTCAAGCTGCACAGCTGTCAGGTCCAGCGGATTGACGTAAACTTAGAAGCTCCAGTTGTCATCCTGATATTCGTGCAGAATCCGTTCCTGCTGCTGCTGCTGCTGCAGCGGTGAAGCTGCAGTCGGTGGCGCTGGAGGGCTCGCTGTGGCCGTCACCTCTCCTTAACCTCCTCTCTTGAATAAGAATCAAGGTAATGTTCTACACCCCAGTCCTTAAAATGCAGCAACAGCAACACAGGGAGGCCCCCCGCATGCAGCCACAACAGCAGCAGCAAGCAGCAGCAGCAGCCGCAACGAGAGCAAAAAGTAGTTGCCGCTGCTGCCAGGCAGTGCGACCCAGGGTTCTGTGAAATTCATGGCATTACCAAGTCATTTTAAATTCCCCCCAACCGCGGGAAAGGCAAAGGCAGCAACAATGGTGGGGGCTGGCAGCAGCTGCGACTCGACGTCCCCAGGCAGTCCTGCAGCAACAACAACAGCAGCAGCGGCAGCAGCAAAAGTGCAGCCGTAGCAGGAGCCCCAATAGCAGCTTTGGTTGGGCAGCGCCTTGAGGGTTTCGTCAGACTGATCCCATGCGAAGGCTCACCGCCACACAGTCGGCTGCAGCAGCGGCAAAGACAGCAGCAACTGCGGCGGCAGCAGCGGGGAAAGCAGCAGCAACAAAAACTTCAGGGTGGGGTGTCCCACTAAATGCAGTAGTGCGCGGAGCAGCAGCTACACACGGGGGGCGCTGAGCTGAATAGTGCTGCAGCTTCTGTAGCTGGGCTAGGCATCGGAGCAGCTGCAGCAACAGCAGCAGCAGTCCCAAGAGTGACAGCAGAAGCAGCAGAAGGCATCTGCTGCGCAAGGAGCAGCAGCTGACAGGCCCTGCTTTCTGATGGCCCCGCTGAGGGCTTCAGGGTGCGTAGCCTTACGACCGCTGCTGCTGCTGCTGCCGCTGCTGTTGCTGGCATTCTGCTGCTCTTACTCAACGTCAAGCCGACTCCCCAGCAGCACATCCTTCTTGCTTCCATTCCCAGTGGTAGGAAACGGGGCTACGGGAGCAGCAGCAGCGGCAGCAGCAACGACTGCAGCAGCAGCAGTGACAGTAGCAACTCGACAGCCACGCCCACGAACGGCCCACTGCGCAGCGAGTGCTGACGCATCTGCAGGGCATGCGCCCATTGCACCGTCACCCCTCGTGCTGCAGGTGCAGCAGCAGCTGCAGCAGGAGCAGCACACAGCAGCAGAGGATGAGCAGAGCCAGGGAGAGATCCTGCGCCTAGAAGGGGTGTCTGTACACTCCGGCTCTGCTGCGCTGTTGCAGCAGGTGTCGCTGCAGCTGCAGCGGCACGAAAAGCTGGCCCTAATCGGCAGCAATGGAGCGGGGAAGACCACTTTGCTGCATGCGATTGCAGCTGCTGCTGCGCAGCAGCAGCAACAGCTATTTCAACAGCTGCAAAAGCAGCAGCAGCTGAGGCAGCAGCAGCAGCAGCAGGAGAAAAGTGGTGGGAGCTCTGAGCAGCGAACTCATCGCCAGAAATTGAGTAAGGCTGCACGCAGACAGCTGCGGAGGATGTCCTCTCAGCCGCAGCAGCCGCCGCAGCAGCAGCTTCAAGAGCAGACACAGGAGCAGCAGCAGCAGCAGAGTCCGTTTGAAATGGAAACAGGTGTCGTCTCAGGGCTCATTCGCTTCAAATGCTCCCCTTCTCGCGTGGCATTGCTGCAGCAAGAGGGCCTCGAAGGCTTCAATCCTGCTGCTGCAGCAAATACCGTCAGAGAGGAAGTGTACAGCCACCTGCGGCAGCAGCAGCAGCAGCTGCAGCAGCAGATAGAGCAGCAAAAAAGGCTGCTTCAGGAACTCACTCTGAACAG